TTGCTAAATTGAAGGAAGAAGAAAACCTTTTTTTTTATTCTCATGTTCTTAACTCCCTATTCTATTTGGGGCAAAACATTTGTGTTAGGTAACAAATTTTCTTTTATACAGAAGAATCTATAAGAAGAAAAAACATAATTTATTACAAATCAAAATAAAATCATCATTTTTTGTTTGGAACCAAACTTCTTTCATAAGAATAGCAGTCACAGAAGGCATTTTTCTCTATTTTCCTTCTTACAAAATGGTAAAATCTATAATTTTGAAGCATTTTCTGTAATTGATTCAAAGCTATGTACTTTTAATAATAAAAAATAGTCCAAATCATATACTGTTATTGACCAATATTTAGGATTTCAACTATTTCCATGAACCTTTTTCAAATATGCCGGACATTAATGTTCATCCTTTTTTCATAGTCTATTGTTGTGGACCTTAACCTAAGTCTAAATCGTGGCCACATTCATAAATAATTAGCATGCTAAGCTTTATTAGTAATCGATCTTAATCGATAACAGTCTATTTACACTTTATCATAGATTTAACAGTGCATGTTTTTCAGTCAATTGTGAATCATTTTGATTAGTTTTATCATTTGTTGGGATTTTAACCTCCCACAATAATAACCAAATCTAGTTGTAACAAAAAAATTTAGCTATTTAGTTGACCATAAAAATGACCTCGACGCGTAGTCATCTTAAGTAAAAAAAACAAAGTAAACGCATAGAAAAAAATAAAAATCAATTTGTTTTTTTTTTGTTTTTAAATAAAAAGGAGTGGTCTGCGTCTTTTCCGATGAGCCGGTGGCCAATGGATTTATAGAAAGATAAGTCAACGAAGGCAAGCCTACACGGTCTGCCACGTGTTATATTTTTAACGGTCTAACCGGGCTTGCTGGCAATTACGCGTCAGCATTAGTTTATTTTTTTTCGAGATCAATTTCGTCACTGTGTATGGGTCAATTATCCTTTAAGCAGTCACTATTAAAATATTTAGCTACAAAAATGCTTCAAAAGCTGCCCGACCATAGTGATTTAAAAAGGATAGCAAAAAGGAAATTAGCATGAATAACAAAAAAAAAAAAAACTATAACTAAAATTCTAATAAATTAATCTAGATCTAAAAGTTCATATTTTGTCATATATGCTAA